TGTTCATCTCAGCTTGTCGTCTGCGCCCACTGGCAGCAGCCAATGAAACTTTGTGTTTATCAGCCTCAGCAGATCTGTATTTAGCTTTTCCCATTCACATATTTCAGCATTTTTATATTTTTATTTTTATCATTCACGCACAAACCCTGCACCGAACTTCTCATTTCAGAGTGATGCTAATCAGGCCAGGCTTTTCCTGTGAGTTTCCCCACCGACAGACTGACTAGGTCACTGCTATGGCGGTCCTAGAGGCCATTATAGTCCTCTCCAGAGAATCTCTGTATTTTTAGACACTAGTTCTTATTCTGCTCTGGACTGGAGAGGCGACAAATGGCTTTGTTATTTCTTATCACAAAATATCTATGTTGCTTTTTATTAATTAATCTAAAAGTGTGGGTGCCTTCCTTATAAACATGCTACACAAATACAATCAAGCATTGGTATTTACATCACAGGTTGTAGAGATACCTAACAGCACACCAGTAATGGTTTCTCCCAATGAGAACACGTGCTTAGACCTGTCTTTTCTGGGTTAACCCTCTGTGCTGTTCATGTGTGTATGTGTATTGTCTCTACACATGTGTGTCTGTAGGTTTTTTTTTAAATCATTACGAGTGTCCATGAGGGTGAAATCTTTTTAATGCAGCTGTTTATCAGAGGAAAAGCCTGAGGGCAAGAATTTCTTTCTCTTTCTCTGGCGCACACACACACACACCTGCCCTTTAATGAAATGTTAGCTGCTGTGGAGTTTTGTAGTAGGTCTGTGTGTTTCGGTTGTGAGACTTTATTAGTAATGACTTAGTATTGTGTATGTTCAAGGGGAGTTTGCTGGGTTGGAATGAGCCGCCTGCAGCTTTCCCTTTATTACACTGTGCTGTAACTCAGCTGGAGAACTAGTCCCAAACCTGCTCTCTCACTCATTGCGTGTGTGTGTGCGAGCTTGCGTGTGTTTACCTGTGGCAGCTGCCACAAGCATGCTGTCTAATCATGTGATGTGTCACTCCTCACAGTGGAACAGATTCCACACTCGGATTGCTGTCACTCTACGAGGGAAACATCACACATCTCTGACTTGTCAGTGTTTTTAATTGCGTTGCAATCACACTGTGATATAGTGATCTGCAGATATTTATTGGACATGATGTACGACATATAGCGGATCTCGAATCTTTGATAGAAAAAATCAACTCAGATAAACAAAAGTAACTCACTAAATATGGAAAAAATGAAACCATATATATACTGTATATTTTTTTTTTTACAATAACAAGTGGTAGATTTACATAAGCACTTTTGACAGTCAGCACTAGATGCTCAACTTGCTGTTTGGTTGGGGCTTTTATCGAGGTAACTATGATCTGATTTTGACACCTTATCTTTTTTCTTTCCTCATGTGTTCTTTCCATACAGAGGAAAGCTGATTGGCAGCTTTGTGTGTCAAGTCAAAGCAGCATTTTTCAGATCACAAATAAGCCACCTTTATAACCAGCTTGTGAAAGATGTTTTCCCTACTCTGTCAGAGGAAAGCTTTAAAAAAATCTGTTTTTCTTTTTGGCATATATAGAGCATATTGTATGTTATGTAAAAGACATTTGTCTGACAACTTCTAAATTGTGTAACTACAAAATCCAATCTTTTCAAAGTCTCATATTCATACTAAAACACTAAAGCACATTAGGTCGTTTTCCGCTACAGGAAATTTGGAGTTAGCAGTCCTGATGATTAGTTACATTTTGAGAAGATGACACCTTGTATTTTCCTGTTGACCCACTACCTCAGAAGGAAAGAAAACATGAAGCTACAAGCCCATGAGGTTTTATGCAAATTTGTAGAGTGTTGTCACTTTGAAAACCTTTAGTTAGCACGGTGACACTTGAGTTGCAGAGAGGAGAGTGTCGAGAACATAAACAGGGCAGCAGAAAGATCCTTGAGACAGTTCTGGATTAGTAGAAGAGATCCTTGGGGAGAGTTGGAAGCTACCTGAATACAAGTTGATCATCCACAGCTGAAAATGACTGCTCAGGTTATGCTGCTCAGACAGTTTAAAAAGACATGTTAGGTTTACACAGCAACTTGTTGGTCCCCATCAACATGAAATCTTGATGACAGGGCTACAGTGATACAGTTTTAATTAATTTCACCTCTGCTGGTGAAAGACTTCAAACTGACAATGACTGGATTGCTACTGAGGCAGCTCTGTGAGGGGAGCAGCGAGGAGGTTGCCGCGTGTGACAACAGAGGCCGTGCTCTCTGACAGACCTTTCTCTAGTGCTGTCAAAAATGTATGACTCTAGGTGATGCAAAGTACTAATTAAAATTGATTTCAGAGCCCTGCTGGTTTTGTGCCCTTCTGTGATAGAGCTCCTCTCCCTTTGCATTTGTGCTTTCATTCGAATTTTAACAGATTTTCATGTCTCTGCTCTTTTACTCCTTAATTTCTCTCTTTGTGACAAGCAAATTGTCAGTGCATCTGCTAATGATGGCAGGAGTATTGTCATTTATTCCAGCGATACAATAAGTGTGCACATTGTCTGGCTGTATGTGCAAAAACATCCACACATATAATTAGATGTAAGGATTTCTCAAAATGACCTCATTAAAAGAAGTGATCATCAGTGGAGGGAAACGCTAAGTACTTTTGGAGAAATTGCAACCAACTAATGAGGACATTGCAACGACTTCCTCTTAAAAACCAAAACAATAGAGATGGAATATAGGAGACAAGCTAGAAAAAATGAGAAAAGTAAAAACAGGTGAAAATGGTCTTGACAGATGTTGAGATGTGGAGAGATGGGTGTGGCTGCCGAGCAGTGTGATGGGAAAGCTGCAGGCTGAAGCGTTCAGTGGATAGCTGACAGTGAAAAACAGACCACAGACATCTATACATCAGCCCCTTGTTCTTCTTGACCACCTGTGTCTCTGAGCCATTCTGTCAAAGTCTAAACCAATAGATTGATGCGGGAAACATTTTCCCTCAAAGCTTCTACCTCTGTCTTTTTTCATAGCTTTATTTTTCCTTCTTGAATATAGAGCTTGTCTTCCTGTAGCAGTTGAGTTCACATTCTCTCATCGCACTGCAGGATCCACAGTGTTCACGCAGAGTCCGCAGGTTTAGGCTCTGGTTTTGATTTGTGTTTGTGTGTGAGTTTCAAGCTCCTGATAGTGTGTTTACGTGTGTGTGCCTATTTGTTCTGTGTGCATGTTTTTTTGTGCCATGTGAATATATGTGTGTTTCTCTACCTGCCCAGGCTTGGGATTAAATGTCACTCTAGCAGATTGATGTTCTCTCTGATAGAACGCCACAGCAGGAATGAATCCATTGCATCTTGCAGATGGGAATAGAAAGACACACTTAGAAAAAAAACTAAGTCAACGGAGCACACGTGCTGCTTCAAATGCCGTAATTTTCATAGACGCACTGCCACATTCTTTCAACATTTTCCTCACAAATAAAGCGAGGCGTTGACTGTGCATGGTCCATATTCAACATAGGAGGAGATAGGTAACATCAGCAGAAAAGGGTAGTAGGTTAAACACTTCCTTTTTCAGCACATGCAGGGGTCACACACTGGTAATGTGCTGTTAGTGGCTGGCAATGCGCCACGCAGAAAGGGCACACTTTTATGGCTTCAGCAAAGTGGAATAGTGGATGACTGATTGTGGGTATGTATGAGTATGCATTTAGGCTTTTGTGAGAATGTGAGCATATGAGTATGTGGATGAACGTGTGGCAAAAAGTGTGTGTGTGTGTGTGTGCGTGCATAAGTGTAAAGAGTGGGTGATTCAGGGAATAATGTACCTCTGCTGCAGTTCTGGCATTCATCCATTTTTGAGAATATTTCTATCAGGCTCTCCTCTGTGGGTGACCGCATTAATACCCGTGAATGAGCTTTTTATGTATGATTTCACTATTACATGCATATACCTTCATTGGCCATTTTATTAGGTGCACCATGTTACCTTATTTATTTGTGGCATACATTTAAAAAGGAAATATTCCTCAGAGATTTTGGTCCACATTGATATGACAGCATCACACAGTTGTTGCAGATTTTTTGCCTGCACATCTTATGATATCAAATGAGATCTGCTCATGGAGGAGGCCATTTGGGTAAATTGAACTCAGTGTCATGTTCAAGAAACCACTTTGAGATATTTTGAATGTGGTATGGCACGTTATCCTCTTGGAATCAGCCATCAGAAGATGGGTCAACTGTGGTCAAAAGGGGATGGACAGGGTCAGCAAAAATACTCAGTCTGTGATGCTTAAACGATGCTCAGTTTGTACTGAAGGGCACAAAGTGTGCCAAGATAATATCCTTTGCATTATCACATCACCACCAGCAGCGGCCTAAACTGTCAGTAGAACCCAGGATGGATCTGTGCCTTCATGTTGTTCATGCCTCCTTATGATCCCATTATCTGAATGTAGCATCAGAAATCGAGTCTCATTAGTCCAGGCGATGCTTTTGTAATCTTCTGTTGCCCAATTTTGGTGAGTCTTTGTAAATTTCTGCTGTTTAAAGATTTGATTTGTTTAAAATGCAAGTACAAAGATGCTCTTTTGCCTACCTTGGTTGTAACTTTCCCTTTATTATGCTCACTTTGAAATTCAACATGTCCACATGTCTAAAGAAATCTCTGCCTTGTGACTGGCTGTTTAGCTATTTGCATTAACAAGCAGTTGAGCAGGTGTACCTAATGAACTGTATATCTATACCTTGCAGTCATACTTGTACTGAAACAGTTCAACAAACAATAAGGTTGACAGTATATTTTACATGATCTTTTAATTACTGCAGTCATTTATCCAACAAAACTACCAAATATTTACAAGTTTCAGCTTCTGTTTTGATGCACTGTTTGTGTCTGACAAATTGTAGTGTACAAATAATGAGTCAGTAAAAAACAAATGCTGTTGGAGCCAAAATTACACTAGATGCATCGCCTATTTTTTCATCTACTATTTCCTTTTCTCTTCACTGCTTCTCCTGGAACAGCTGGAGCAGGTGAGCATCTTCTTATCACTTTCTCTTACCACTCCCACTCTTGTAAGCTGTGACTGATCCTAAACAAACACTTTTATGTGGTAGTATGTGTGAATGACACAAATCTCTAATATGTCCTCTTTGGGCTGTTTTTAAAATAAATAAATAAATAAATTGTGGCATAGGCTCCAGAGTGGCCATCAGTATTTCTTGCAGGATTTTATGGTAACAGTGTGTTTTCAGTACAATCACATGAGACTCAAAGTAATTCTAAATTTCTCATTTTTGCACTGGAAAAAACCTCCCCTGCATGCCACATTTACAGGCTTTAAGTCAGAACTAGTCATGCTGGAAAATGTAATTCACTTCACAAAGTCCCATATTGTCCAGGCTCTCAAGTTTATAAATAAGCCTATCTGGCCTCTACAAATCCTCAAAAAGAGGAAATGTTCTTAGCAGGCAGCAGCAGAGAAGCTGTCCTTGGTGCTGAACTCAAGAGATTTGAGAGCTAGAATATACTGTCTCAGCTTGAGTTTTCTGCTGGAACACTGTGGGTAATAAACGCGGTGCATGGGACTCATGATTGTATCTAAAACATTACGGGGAGTTGCTTCTGCTTTTTGTGTTGAGTAGACATTTTGGGGGAGAATTTGTTGTTGCACAGTATAAACTTTCTTGTGGCTGTGCAACTCTTGTTTGTTTTATCTGTCTTGCTTATACACTCATTATTTTTCTGAATGTTCTGTGTATTTGTTTTTCCCTCTCTCATTTTGAAGATCCCAGTGTGATTTTTGTTTTTTTGACCACATTCAGATGTTTGGGAAAACAATTAATTGCGGTTCCCGATCATTTCCGTGTTTGATGATTGGCTTACTCTTTATGAAACACACAGGTGGCACAGAATAATAAATAAATAAATATAAAGGCCCGTTTGGTCTTCTGCCTCTATGAATACTTTAAGACTGAGCTGCAGATCCAAGCTTCTGTGACTGTGAGGAATGAAGCATTACTTGATCTAACGCCAGCTGTGGAAATCTGATTGATTTGGCTTTGTCTACAGAACAGCAGTGGGTGTAGCAACATTGCATCATGATGCTGCTGTCAGACAAAAACCTCATACCTCCAGTGTTGATGTTTTATCGTTCCTGACTGGAATTGAATCGTGCTTTTCTGAGTGCTGATGTTTTTTCCCTTCTTTGTTTGTTTATTTTTTTTATGACCGCAAAGCCCTCAGGGACCCATTACAAACCAGTTGTGTAGTTTGAAAATGCCCAGACATCAATTGGAATATCTGACTGGATGGATCAGTACCTTACAACAACATACATTTCAGAAGAACAAGTCTTGAATCTGACAGCAGCAGTTCGGAGAGTGAATGGAAGTGTGTGTAAACAGATAGTGGGGAGCAGAGACGGCAGACTTTTCAGAACTGTCTTCACTTCCAGCTCATCTCTCTCTTCATGTACCGGAATGCTAGCTCACATCACACTGAGAAATGCCTCCAGCAGCATCATTCCTGCTGGTCCACACTTTTTAGCACAGTCAGATACAGGATATACATGCAGCATACAGTATACGCTGCTTTCCGATTTACACGCTTTTATCGCCAAAGAAACGTGTACACCATCTAAATGCTCCTATCCATCTGCCTTTTTTCCTCCTGGTACTTGTATGTTTATGCAAATGTATTTGTGTTAGCGCACGCATGTGTCCCTCTGCTGTAAAACACACGCTCATTAGATGTACGTTCTAAACACAGTAATTAACAAAGTCATTAAGGCTCAAGCAGCTCTCCTGCTGCGGGTGAGGAAAAGCCAGACAGTCTGATACACACACACACACACACACACACACACACACACACACACACA